CATCTTCTCATAGGTTCAAAATGTAATTAGTTACCACAGTTGTTTTGATAAACATGGATGCTATAATAGGTTAATTATGGCTACAAGGTTAGTCATCATAAACACAAACTCTGACATGGTGGAACCTATATTACTGACAAAACCAAAATTCACCTTGTTTTACACCCTTTTTTTTTTTTAATATCCAATCCCAACCCATCACGTGGCCATTGAGCTCCCAGTCCCCCCCTTAGCTGGACTGGATGCCCTCTTTATCAAATTATACTTGAGAAATCATCTCATCCTTTCTTTTGGAAGATTTCTTCATTGAAAAAATATATTGTTTTATCATACTAAAGCCTTTTATTACTTTTACAAACTCCTTTTAATCACTTTATTTGAAAATACTGAAAGAAAAATCATGTAAATTGGAAAAATATACTACCAGAAATGTTTAGACGTATGAGAAGTATGTAGAAACATAAAAATATCTTCTTTATACCCATTAATTAAACTAGTTTTGATGTGCTTTAAGGTAGCAATACAAATACAACACACAACAACTTGGCCTGGAATACCAAAAACATGTGGATGATTTAATTAACATTATATTGTGGAAAAATAAATTAATTTGTGAAAATTGGTATTGTCATTGCTTTCCACCGTTTCGTCCTATTCTCCGTCCCATTTCATGTTTTAATTAAAAGAAATAAGGAGTTAGATAATAATTCTCACTTTTGTCACATATCATCCACAGCGTGCGTTGTTATGATATTTATATGTCGTTGATAAGCCGAACCAGACCCACATTTTTAATTAATGTGATTGCTGTAAGCTTTTAATTTTTTGGTGGGGAAAGGTGAAGAAGATTAGTAATGTAGTCCAAATCTTTCATGGCTCCCACCAACATGGTCTAATGAGGAAACGCCACATCTCTTTGATTCATTTGAGACTTTATTATATTACCAAGTGCATTTAGATCATGGGTTCCACTTGGTTGAAATTCATTCTTAAAGACTCTTTATAAAGCCATCGAGTATTGTATTAACAGAGAATAGGTTGATGTGGTTCACCCAAATAATATCCGTAATTTAATGAATTGAATTGCAACCTCAATTATCTCTGAATTTAAAAATAGAATTCGTTTTCATTATACCTACCGGGTGGTCCTTCCTGCCAAGATTGATTAATGGAAGTGACTACTCTGAGGAAGAAGCCAATGGAAATGGGATAAAAACGGACAGACCGAAAATTGGCACTATGCTATGATATTTCTTCACTGTGGTCCATCCAACACACTGTTATAATTTTGATGTGAATGCTGAGTAAGATATAGTGGATCGATGAGTGCCAATGGAAGATGATAAGATTTGCATGCTGAGTAAGATAATAATAATAAAATGCATGGCATAAATGGTCATTATTGTGTTATATGTTACTACTCATATATATATATTCTTTGTGGGATTTTGATCTGGAACGCACAAAGATCGATTTTTCTGTGCACTTTTCTTCCTCCTTTTTGCTTTTCTTCATTCACGTGGTTACTCGCTAGCTAGGGTTACACCATTTCTACACTGAAGGAGATTTTTTTTTTTTTTTTTTAATGTAAATATGAAGCTGTAACTTGAATAACTATGAACGTACAGACAGATAAATATCGGCAAGAAAAAAGAAAGCAAGATGTGGCCTTAATGAGACAAATTAAGAAAGTTAAAAACTACTTTGGTTTCTAAATACATTTACCATGGCCGTGTTCAAAATCAATTCATGTAATAACAGTTTCAAGTGTACTTTGTGAAGCTTTTTAATCAAGACTTTTAAACACAAGCTTTCGGCTAAACAGCCGTTTCTTTTATTGCAGACATGCACAGATATCAATTAGAGTGGGTTAGTAAGTAAAATTCATTGATCCACGTGTTAAGTATTGTAATTATCGATGCCAAAATGGCTGATACATGGATTTGCAATTTACCCAAAGAGGAAAAAGGGTTTTGATTATATATTAAATTAATGATGGTAAAATATGGAATAGTGCAGAAACTATTATAGATGATGAAGAGGGAGGGAGGAGTAGGTGTGAGATTGATAATTAAACAGACGACTCTTTTGTCTCCACTCTTGGAAATGGAGGTCCAGGCACTATCAGAATTAAAGCAATAAAGAATAAAACGACATACACGCTTGACGCTCCCTCGAGAGTAGCTACTCTATCCCTTCCCTTTCACCTTCTTTTCATGGCATCCAAAGACAGTAATGTGAGTTGGAAAGCCAACAATCAGGGGGCTCCTCTTCCAGTTCACTACCATCTAGTACTATTAATTTCATACACATATATAACATATGAAATCATCATGCATGCATGCATGGCATGCATCAACAGAAGAGACAGGATTAATTAAATTTTTTTTTTTTTTTCATATATGTAATTGTATATGATGATTGCTAATTAAAAGATAGGTTTCATTGAAATTTATCATGAATACATGAAGCGGTCCAATTTCAAGGTTTGAAAAGACAAAACATGATTAAAATTTTCTTTTATTTTTGAGTCTATGTATATATTGTTGAAATGAAGTTGTTCAGGGGATGCAGAAATAAGACATAAGATGGTGACATATCTATGAGTACAAGTCGAGAGTGGTGCTGTCTTGCATTCAGCATCAAATCAAAAACCATATCTGAAAAACTCATTCAGCATCATTCTATCTTTTGAACTCTTTAAAAAAAAAAAAAAAGAAAAAAAAATGGGCCTAAGAACTTTTACATGGAACCCCACGAGCATATGGTTTTACAACGAAAAATCAACCTTTAAAAGCTGAACTTTAGGGTCCTCCATTTTTGTAATGGCCAGGCCAACTAAAGTTGAAATTAAATTCCCCCAAAGAAAAGCCGCTGAGTAAAGAGCTAGATTCTGCTCCCTTATACCCCCTTAAAACCCTACTTTTCATTGGAAGTAAAAAAGAAATTTTGGCTTTTGGGTTTATACTTAGGATTCCTCACTTTAAAAACAGACAATTTTGTAATTTTAACTGACTATACTTAAGTCTTGTGGGCCAAGATAAGCCCTGGGTCCCCGGGCCATTGAAAGTCGTTGGCCGTTAGTGTATATTTTGATTTTTGAGTAACAAATGTCATCTTCTCATAGGTTCAAAATGTAATTAGTTACCACAGTTGTTTTGATAAACATGGATGCTATAATAGGTTAATTATGGCTACAAGGTTAGTGATCATAAACACAAACTCTGACATGGTGGAACCTATATTACTGACAAAACCAAAATTCACCTTGTTTTACACCCTTTTTTTTTTTTAATATCCAATCCCAACCCATCACGTGGCCATTGAGCTCCCAGTCCCCCCCTTAGCTGGACTGGATGCCCTCTTTATCAAATTATACTTGAGAAATCATCTCATCCTTTCTTTTGGAAGATTTCTTCATTGAAAAAATATATTGTTTTATCATACTAAAGCCTTTTATTACTTTTACAAACTCCTTTTAATCACTTTATTTGAAAATACTGAAAGAAAAATCATGTAAATTGGAAAAATATACTACCAGAAATGTTTAGACGTATGAGAAGTATGTAGAAACATAAAAATATCTTCTTTATACCCATTAATTAAACTAGTTTTGATGTGCTTTAAGGTAGCAATACAAATACAACACACAACAACTTGGCCTGGAATACCAAAAACATGTGGATGATTTAATTAACATTATATTGTGGAAAAATAAATTAATTTGTGAAAATTGGTATTGTCATTGCTTTCCACCGTTTCGTCCTATTCTCCGTCCCATTTCATGTTTTAATTAAAAGAAATAAGGAGTTAGATAATAATTCTCACTTTTGTCACATATCATCCACAGCGTGCGTTGTTATGATATTTATATGTCGTTGATAAGCCGAACCAGACCCACATTTTTAATTAATGTGATTGCTGTAAGCTTTTAATTTTTTGGTGGGGAAAGGTGAAGAAGATTAGTAATGTAGTCCAAATCTTTCATGGCTCCCACCAACATGGTCTAATGAGGAAACGCCACATCTCTTTGATTCATTTGAGACTTTATTATATTACCAAGTGCATTTAGATCATGGGTTCCACTTGGTTGAAATTCATTCTTAAAGACTCTTTATAAAGCCATCGAGTATTGTATTAACAGAGAATAGGTTGATGTGGTTCACCCAAATAATATCCGTAATTTAATGAATTGAATTGCAACCTCAATTATCTCTGAATTTAAAAATAGAATTCGTTTTCATTATACCTACCGGGTGGTCCTTCCTGCCAAGATTGATTAATGGAAGTGACTACTCTGAGGAAGAAGCCAATGGAAATGGGATAAAAACGGACAGACCGAAAATTGGCACTATGCTATGATATTTCTTCACTGTGGTCCATCCAACACACTGTTATAATTTTGATGTGAATGCTGAGTAAGATATAGTGGATCGATGAGTGCCAATGGAAGATGATAAGATTTGCATGCTGAGTAAGATAATAATAATAAAATGCATGGCATAAATGGTCATTATTGTGTTATATGTTACTACATGCAAAATAAATATAATATAATATACAAGATGTCGGGGATCTAGGGCTAAATGACAACTTCAAGCTCGACTTTTTAGATTTGTAATGTAGAAACTTGTAAGTATTTAAAGAAAAGAAAAGAAAAAAAGATCCTTCTTATCCAGGTTTGGCTTTTTCCCATAATAATATCTCACTGTTCTCACTTCAATGCCAACAGTTTGATACTACATTAAGATGATTAATTAGCGATGGACTGGTGGAGAGAGAGGCACGTACCAAGGAGCTATTCATGATCAAGACTTTGGGGACCGAGCAGTCTCTTCATTTAGCTATAAGCCAAAGGATTCACCGAGCATGCCTCGCAAAATTCCAATATTTGTGCTTAAAAGTGGTAATAAAACAAATTGCAACGCTACAAATTCTATATTGTCAATCACGTGATTTCCATACGACTTAAATAAATAAATAATTAAAGAGAGAAGAAATGAAAGAAAGATATGGAATGATTTTATTACATTTATGAATCCAATACAGCACGCTTGAAAAGGCCCCAAAGACCTTTGTATATGTTGCCATGAAAGAGGGGTTAATTCACCCCTTGGACAAAGAAAAAACAAATCAAAAGAAAAGTAGTGTGCACACGTGTAACCATTCACACGTATGAACACCGCTGAAAGAGTTGAGTATTTAATGTTAGGCCAATTAACGTCATGTCAAGGCCAGGGCATTTCCCGCCAAAAAAACACACATACACAAACCACTCATAGTCATATATATATATATATAAATTAACTAACATGGCCATCACTGGAGCCATGTTGTTAATTATCATATATCATGTTATGTCTTCTTCGCTTTGGCTTTGTCAAAAGTTGCAGAGATGATCCAGAAGAAAACGATATGGAGCGCCTCTTGATGGGAAGTTTTGACAAATATATATATATATATACTCGATACTTATTCAAACCCTCCATTCCCTTATTTTTCTCAATTTTCTTCTCTTTTCCCCCAAAGGGTCCCGCCATCTCCCCTTCTTTCATTCAACAATCAATGCAGCCTTTGAATTCAATCCCCACTTCTTTCACACTCCACTCTTTCTCAATCTTTCCCCAACTTTTGTCACATAAATATATATATATATATAAAATATTTATGTAACAAATCCCCTTCCCTTGGGAATCGGCAATGCCATTAATGGATGGATGGATGGCAATCCACCAACTTAAAGAAACAAAACAAATTAATAAATCAATCTTCCAAACTCACCAAACTCTCTCATACATACATATAAATATATATATACTAAATAATCTACATCACTCATGTTAATTTACTCTCAAAACCCTCCAAAAAATATCGAGGATTCTCGACAACTTGGACCCCCATTTTCTTTTCTTTTTATATTATCTTCTCCTTACTCCGAGTTTCCTTTGTCATCATCTACCCATAAGCAGTTATTTAATTTTCTCCTTTTATAAGAAATTGGAGATGGAGATGGAGATGGAGATGGAGATGAGGATGATGAGTCACTGGAGGATCTCATTCTGGCACGAACTGTTACGCGAAGCTGCGGTAAAACTTTTGGTGCTTTTCTCCGCCTATCATTAAGCACGAGCTGTTGCATCAACCGGTAGCAGCTGATGATTTTCTCCTGCAAAAAATGGATACGTTCCCAAGTTGGCATAATAGTTTTTGGTCCTTAATGATAATATATGAAATATTACTCGCTTACTTTGCTTAGTCCATCACACCAGGATTCAGCATGTTCAGGATTAGCAAGAGACAAATTTGGAATTTCATTGGCTGCACAAAGAATCGCTGCAGCAGCAATGCTTGACGGCCAATACTCTAAAAAGCTGGCCTCTGTTCATATTATCATCTCATTATTAGGCTTCTACATTTCTCTATACGATGTATACATATACGTAGAGTGCATGCATGTATTTACATAAATATTGTATTACCTTGGATATTGGATAAAATAATTTCCGAGGCCCGAGAAATTAAGAACCCCATAAAAGCTCCTGTTGGATCAAGTTTGCATGCGAAAAACCCAATGAAGCTGAATGGTGTCACGGATCGTAGCCTCCAATCTAAAACACTGAGCACCAGAAGCTCCATTCTGCGGATAGTTTTTGTTTCAAAAATATATTTGGCTCCTTTAACCTACAATGATAATATTAATCCAGAGTCCCAGACTGAATAAGCTATGTATATTTCATCAATGCCGCAATCAAATTATCGAAGTAATATATATTTCATTAGTGTGTTAGGTGCTCGTTTAGAGAAGTACCTGAAGATCCAACAGAGAAGGAACCAGTGGTTCCTCCATCTTTGCAGCTAATGACAAGCAAGCAACAGCAAGAAGTTGCAGAGGCCACCCCTTATTTTGCTACACGCAAAAACCGTGTAATTAACGAAAATTGTGTTATCCATAACAATGGTAATGGTAATTAATTAGTCTTTAAGCCGCCTCTACTTTATGAACAGTAGTTGATTAATTATATTGATTCTAGAATCATTATATAATATTACCCCCGTAGTGCATTTCCACGTGCTGAGAAAAATATGTGAAAGTTAAATTTATAAAAGCATATTGTATAGTTTATATAGCACATTTTATAGTACTAAAGTTTATAAAGGCATGATAAATACCCCAAAAAAGTTAAGACTGTGTATTGCTTAAGAAAGGTTGATAAATGTTTGGTTGATTCTATAGGGAAAACAAACAGTGTTTATTTACTGTGGTTAATTAATAATTAAATTAATTAACCACTCGTGTCATTTTCTTATTCTGAAAAGTCAAATACAAATACCCCAATAGTCAAAATAATTAATCACTTCAATAAATCAATTCCGCGATCATTATCAACTGCCGGGTATTGTGTATTGCAGTCCAGCTAATTGTAACTTTCACGGACCGATACTTACCGGCAACCGGTGAGAATACAGAAACCGATCCATGTAATTGACGGAGAGATACGCCGTTAATGGCTGGAAATTATAGTATGCTTGCACCTGCATAAACCAGACAAATATTTATCACTTTTTTCACCATACAGATACCAAAAAGAATCCAGCATGATCTCCATAAGTTAGACAGCTGGTAAAAATTGTCCTAAAAGACATTAAATCAGATCTATGGCTTAGTTTAAGCGGGTGAGAATATGCAGTATTATATTTTTTAGCATCAAAAACAACTACGTAAAACATCACTGTATTAATAATAGAACAATGATAATACCTTGAGAATCCACGCAACAGATTGTTCTCTAGCCGAGACATCGAGAGACTGAGTTTGAAACTGAGTCAAGTAATCAAAACCAGGAACAAAGTTTCTCTCATCCATTATAAACCCAGCGATAGACTCTTCAATGGAGGCAGAAGACTCGAGGTCCGATGATGAACATTCCGGTGAAGACTCGCCGGAGAAGATGCCGGAATCCTCGCCGCAAAGAAGGTCGGGAAAGTTACTCGAGCACGTCACCGACATGTTTGTGATTATATTCTCATCGATCGATCGCGACTGGTTTCTTTAAAGAAACTCCCCCGAAAACTGATCGGAGAAGAAATCAGCAAAGTGGGAGAGTGAGTGAGTGAAGAAAGAGACGAGAGGTTAGCTATGTTCCTGCTTGTTGTGGATGTTGGGTTGAAATTGTATGTGTTTGTTTGGATATAAATATGAGGCCAGTGATCAGTGATCAGTGATTTTGTTTTTATTTTTTATATTTTTGTTTTATTTTTTTGGAGGTAAAATTGAGAGGGGGAGGATATATCTGAAAAGAAAGAGAGAGAGTTTTGGATTTCCCGGGAAAAATGGGTTACCATTTTGGGACGGGGAGGATTTTTTTGCGTTTGTGTTATTACAGGAAAATTAAGAAGTGTTACGTGTTGAGGTTAGGACTTAGGTTTTGTTTTGGTTTTGCGCCTTGATTACGAAGGAGAAGCCAGGACGTACTTTAATTGCCACGTGGGGTGTGATATGTAATTCACACACGTTTGAGAATGGGGATTCCTTCCAGAAAAGTGAGGCGTTTTCATGTATTATACGGTAAAGAGTAAGATTGTAGTAAACTTTATTCAAATTACATAATATAAATAATATTGTAAACTTTTTTAATACCAAAAATACTAAACCCAGAACATGAAAAGTATAAGAAAAAATCAATTATTATATGCTATCATTATTACCATTCAATTATATATCAATTAATTGAGCCATCATTATTTATGAATTAAATTGTTAGATTTTTCTTCAAAATTAAATTTATATCTTAAATGTTAATGAAATGAAGTGACCAAATTGAATACGTGGCGATGGAATATGAAACTAGAGAGTCCATGACAAGACAAGGGTTAATTGCAGGGTAATTATGTCATTCCAGCTTTAAACATTACTTTCCCATTGGCCAAGAAAAATATGAGTGAAAAGGAAACGGTGTGTGTCTTATTTGCGGGGAACTCCACCAACGCCAGTGAACACAAGAGAAGGTTTAATGATGTCATCCATCATCATGTCATATATTAAACAATATTTGCGTATTTTTATAAATATTAAAACAATTTCAAGAGGTATTTTGTTTAAATTATTATAAATAAATGATTTTATTGATCTATAAATAAAAATATGAGAACCACTTAATGTGTTACATGTCATATTCGTGGGGGCACAAAAATGGGAATAGGCCATACACCTTAAGAGCATTCAAATGATGGCAGCCTATAAAAGTATATATATCTTCCCTACAAATTAAACTATAATGTTAATATCTTTTCTATGCTATGATTATTACTCAATCTTTGTCAACTTAATAATTTTATTAATTTATAATTAGCTTTAATTTAGGAGCTTCTAAGACTTTTGATTAATTCATGAAAATGAAGTATTTTGTTCAATTTATATCTCTATATGTGTTTTTTTGTGTTTTATTGAGTATTTGGGGCGTTTGTGAATTTGATACTCAACTTAATTAATTATATATTTTATATAAATTGTAATTTACGTTCTTCTTACCTTAACTAACGATATAATCTAATTTTGAAAAATTGCATATATTGATTTAATTAATCAATTTTATCAGTAAAGATGATAAAAGAGAGAATTTTGATTAAATGGATTATTTAATAAATGAATCAAATTCAAATCCTCCAAATCAATAAATTTAGCTTAAGTAAACATTTTGTATTAGATTTTCAATAATAAACATCAAATTGACGCCTACTTATATATGAATGGTTAGTTGAAGAAAATAATAAACTATTATTATTATTATTATTATTTTACTTTTGCTAATGAAGGTGCATAATTTATGATATAAAAGAGAGAGAGAGAGAGAGAGAGAGAGAGAGAGAGAGAGAGAGAAAAATAATTATCATGTTTAATAAATTTTATAAATTATAAGTTGATTTTAAATTGAAAAGCAACTTAAAATGGTTTAGTATTTTTGAAAAGCAATTAATATTGAATAAGTTTTTAAATATCTTTGAAGTATCCAGCACTTTCATTAATTTTTTATTTAAAAAAAATAAGAAATATCCTGCACTATCATATATTATATTTTAAACGTATAAAAAATTTATTCTTATATATAATCTAAAACATCTTTTTAAAATATTAATTGAGCACTGGGTGTAGGTAGTAGGATCCTCTATAAAAAGATATTAACTTCAGGGGAGATTGTGGGAGAAATAAGTCTTGGACGTAGATTTGGCATCAACAACTCTGTTTTTGATCTTTTCAAAATGTCTTTCAGTATTTATATCGAAAATACTTGCCGGCCATCAAAAACCAAGATCGACTCGCCTTCTTAAATTACAATTGGAATTAGTCAATTAGAGGGCCATTTAATTAGTAACTATAGTTTTATATATTTTTCACCAATTGATGGAATTAGAGGGCCAACTAATTAGTAACTGTAGTTTTATATATTTCACCAATTGATTTAATTATATTATGGACCAATTTGTAAAACTTGTTGTGCAGCAGAAAAACAAACTATAACATTAGCTATTGAAATATAATAACAACTACTAAAGCAAAAATACATGACCACAATAAATGCAAAAATAAAGAACACCAAGAAATTTAACGAGGTTCGGTATTGTTACCTACGTCCTCGAACACGGCAGAAAAACTCTACTATTCTCTGAAGAATATTACAAACACTATTCTCTGAAGAATATTACAAACTTTTGAACAATACTGCAAATACCCAAAATAAAAGGGAATACAGAAAAAACTCTAAACCATAGGGTAAGAACCCTTTACAATAGGAGTATAAGTAGAAGTATTTTTGGGATGATTAACAATACAACTTGGCCTCCTTTATATAGATCTTAATTCCTAGCCTCATTCATATTCCCACTTGATGTAGGATTTCTAATTATCCTATTCCTATTCGATGTAAGATTGCTAATTATCCTATTCCTATTCCTACTAGGAGTTGGATTGCTAATGAGTCAATTTTTTAACAAATCTCCACCTTGAAGAATTAGCAACCTTAAAAATTCTTCTGATAAATTCTACAACACCTTTAAATACGCCAAATGATGCGATCAAACTCGCAAGATGTTAATCAAGCTCAAACAATGATTGAACTTAACCATCATCACCACTTTTATTAACATATCTGTAGGGTTTTCAGTAGTCCCAATCCTTTGTAGGCAAATTTTTCCTTTACTAAAGGTTTACCGCACAAAGTGGTAACGAACATCTATATGCTTAGTGCGAACATAGAATACTGGATTCTTTGCTAAGTGAATAGCACTCTAACTATTAGAGTAGATAGTGATCTTCTCCTGATTAATCTTCAATTCTTCCAATAGTCCTTGTAACCAAATAGCTTCCTTTATAGTCTTTGTAACTGTCATATGTTCTGCCTCTGTAGTAGACAAAGCAATTGTAGACTGTAAAAAAGATTTCAAACTTACCAGAGCTCCAACAAGAGTAAATACATATCCAGTTGTTGATCGACGCTTATACAGATCACTAGCATAATCAGAATCAACGTAGCCAATAGCAAACTACTAAGATGGTCATTCTGCTCAAAAACAAAACCAATGTCTACAGTACCTAAAATGTACCGTAAAATCCACTTCGCAGCTTGCCAATGTCCTTTACCAGGATCATGCATATACATGCTCACAATTTTCAACTGCATATGAAATGTCAGGCCTAGTACACACCATTGAATACATCAAACTATCTATCGTATTTAAATACGAAACCTTTGACATATATTCTTGTTCTTCATGTGTACTTAGAGATAACGATGCACTAAGCTTTATATGAGGAACAAGTAGAGTACTTACATGTTTTGACTTTGCAGTTACCCCAAAACATTGTAAGACTTTCTTTAGATACTACTTTTGAGTCAAACAAGCCTTGCCTCTCACTCTAGCTCTACAAATCTCCATGTCAAGAATCTTCTTAGCTTCACCCAAATCTTTCATCTCAAACTCTTGATTCAACTGAGATTTTAATGCATCAATTTATGACATGTTTCTAGAAGCTATCAACATATCATCAACAAACAAGAGTAAATAAATGAAAGAACCATCTTGTAACTTGCAAAAATACACATAATTATCAAATTTGCTTCTTGTGTACTTTTGACCCATCATAAACCTATCAAATCGCTTGTTCCATTGTCTCAGAGATTGTTTCAAACCACAAAACAATATTTTTAGTTTACATACCCAATATTCTTTCCTAATAACCCTGAATCCTTCTAGCTGAGTCATATAGATTTCCTCTTCCAAATCACCATGTAGAAATGCAATTTTCACATCAAGTTGAACTAGTTCAATATTCATCTACGCTACAAAGGCCAACAAAATCCGAATGGAAGAATTCACTATAATCAATTCCTTCATTCTAAGCGTAGCCTTTCGCCACCAACCCAGCCTTGAATTGGAGTCTTTCAAATTAGGAAATCCTTCTTTCTTTGCATGTACCAATTTGCATCCAATTGCCTTCTGATTCTTTGGTAATATAACTACCTCCCAAGTTTCATTCTTTTGGAGAGACTGTATCTCTTCTTTCATGGCTTTTCTTCCACTGACTAATTTTGGAATTGCTGTCTGCTTTTAAAAGTTGAAAGAACTTCATCATCTTCAATTGGGAGTGCATAGGCCACCATATCAACAAAACGAGCAAGCTTGCGAATTTCTCGTCTTTGCCTATTAATGACAATGGATTCTTATTAAGGTTCTTGGGAAGAATCCTTCTCTTCTTCTCCAATGGACTCCTCCATCATAGAAATGTCATTTTTTGCTTCAACATTTCTAGCTGGGCTAACAAATGTTGTTTTAAACTCCACCTGCTACCGAGTACGCTCCATATGTTGTGGAGTACTGTTAACCTTTATTTGGTTTCCTGTTTTCTTCTCTAACATAGAAGACTCGTTAAATATCACATCCCTCCTAAACAGTATTTTCTTCGAACTTGGACACCAAAGACGATATCCTTTCACACTTAAGGTAATCCCCATGAATACTATTTTCTTTACTCTAGGATCTAACTTAGACTTTTTCACATGATAATAAGCAGTGGGACCAAAAACATGTAAAAAGTTATAATCAGAAACAGGTTTTCTAGACCAAAATTCTAATGGAGTTTTTTTCCTTATTGCAATCGATGGTAAACGATTAATGAGATGACATGTGTAAGTAATTGCCTCAGCCCAAATTTCTTTGCCTAACCAACATTAGACAAAATACATCAAAGTGTAGTTCGATTCATGCATTTTGCCACCCCATTCTGCTATGATGTATTTCTTATTGTAAAGCGACGTACTATACCTTCATCTTGACAAACATTTAGAAAAGGATCACTATGATACCCCCCATTGTTATCTGTTTGTAGTTGCTTAATCTTTCTGCCAGTTTAAGTCTCAA